GACAGAATCGGTCAGGGTTCAGTTATTTGGTCGAATGATTGGCCTGTTCTGACAAATAAATATATAAAAATGATCAAAATTATTGAACGGTTTGAATGATTCAATTGCCCGGATCGACAGTTTATTGATTAAATCAATGTTTTTTAGCAAAAATCTGATTTTAGGGAAAGACGGAACCGATCAACTGACTAATTCCCAGTTTTTCCGGTCCGATCCAATTTTAAAAACCATGACTAAAAGAAACTACTCTTGAAGGCCTCTGAAAGGCAAGTAAAGAATTGCATTTTGAGAAGCCATTAAAGGAGCAATTGATGAATGGGAGACAAAGAAGAACAGGAAATCACCGAAGGAGGTGGAGGAGGAAGTGGAGGGAACTCACCAATTTCATATATGGGGAGAGGATTGGGAAGATTACCATTACCCTGATAGCGATAGGGTGCTAGTTAGTTGGTAGATGATTTGTATAATGAATTATTGCGTTTGAAAACTTTGGATATTTCAAGTATGTGTACAGTATTATGTTTGAACCAAATATATGCAAATATGAATGTGTTTTTCTTATGTTTTTTATTTTCAATTGAGTTGATATGGCATTTTTTTCATCTTGTAATATTTGTAACATCATTTTAAGAATTCTATTGTGTTTTCATTGCTAGTTTTAATAAATTTTGGTACATATTTTTGTTATGTTCTTATTATTTCAAAATTGTTATGTTTATATTATTAATTTTTCCCATTTTTACTATATTATAATTATTTTGTTAAGGTTTTTCATCATCATCTTTATCATCTTGTTACGGTGTAATCATTTTATTATATTAATGTTTTACGTTTTGTTATTTTTTAAAAATTTGTTATGCTTATATTATGATTTTCCATTTTATTATTTTTCCAGTTTCATCATTTTGTAATAATTGTCTTAAGTTTTTATTTTATTTTTAATAATTTTTTATGTCAAAACTATTAATAAATTTTACTTTTATTATTAGCTGGTAAATAGTTTTTACCATATTTTTTATTTTTCGGATAAAAGACTTAAACATATCCTGAATTTTCATAAATTGACTTAAATATACCCTAAGATTTTCAAAAAGACTTAAATATACTTTGTGGGCTAACTATAGAGGACTTAAACATACCCTCCTTCAAATTTAAAATTTTTAAAATCCTATTTTGTCCTCCTGAGAAGAAGAAGAAGAAGGTGGGAGGAAAAATTTACTTTGAAAATTGTTAATGACCTTGTAATTCAAATTCTTTTATCCTTCATTGTCACTTTCTTTTCATTTATTGAAGCAAGTTAACAAGAGAAATTTACTGTGAATAGAGATGAACCGAGTTGACTTTTTTAAGTTGTTTGATTCGATCATTAAATTATTGTTGATTTTGATGTAATGTAAATTATTCCCCTATTTCCTTCCCTTGGAAGGATCTATTGCAGAATAAAGCATAAAAAAATAGGGATTGAGAAACAAAGTTCAAAGAATGGAGGAGGCTTTGTTGGTGGCTTTCTTTAATCGTTTGATTGGAATGGGAAGTCCAGGAAGAAGTTGTTCTCTAACGATTATCTTTCCTATTCAAGAGTATATTTTGAAAATTTAAATGAACATGAAGGATAAAAGAGTAATTATGTATATTTAAGTTTTTTTTTTTTAAAAAACTTAGGGTGTGTTTAAGTCTTATACCCTTATTTTATTGTTCATTTATAAAGTTTTTTGGTATTTAAAATAGCCCTACCTGGCATATACTATCTGTCTACTCATTGCCACGTGTATACCATTGGTGACCCAATGCCATTAACATGGCATGCGCACTGTCCCATCTTATATCTTAATATTAAAAGGGTAGCTTCCCCTACAAACTTGCTTTCCAGAAGATTTTCATTCATTTGAAATTATCAGATTGTTCAAGTATATATCCTAATGAATATAATTCAAAGAGGATTTATTTAATCTGAGTAGCTGGAGATTACTTGAGAGCTCAGAATATGTGAACACAATAAGGACGACCATGTCAGTCTTTATTACCATGCTCTAATCAGATTAATTAAGATAGAAGGGAAAACTTTTATTCATCCTAAAAAAGAGGAAAAGGTCCTGTTCATGTTACTGCCATTCTTTGTTTCTGAAAAAAATTAATGTTGTACTTTTCAATGATGTGGCTTTAACACATCCACTGTGTGAATAGGACTCCTTCCTCTTTCATAACTAGAATTTCAACTTTAGCACTATTTAATTGCTTTATATGTTTTATTTTTATGGTTGATATAGTATTGGTAAGAAAATTAAATTGATAAAGATGGATTAAAATATCTTTTTTTCTCCTTAATTGGTATTAGTGGTAATGTGGTATAACTTAGTGGTAATTTTTAATTGCGTTAATTAATAGGATAATTAAATATGAAATATGCAGGCATGTATAGATTTGTAAATGTATGGATTTGTAACGGTCAAGTATGGAGTGTGAGGTGTAAATGTTTGTAGTCAATTTGCAATGGTTTGTGGATATGATGATCGTCAAAGTATGGCTTTAATAGTTGAAATGAATTTATATAACGATTTGTGGCAGATATGCATTGATTTGTCACGTTTACCAATGGCTTGTAACAGTTTGGTATTTGATGCGGGGTGACCCAACCCAATCCATTTGAGGCCGGGAAGGCCTAGCCCAGATTCGGGAACGAGATCTGTTATAGCAGGGGTTATCCTGTTCCTCTCGTATGGAGTCAATTGTGAGGCGTCCACGCGTCCCCAAAGAGCTCTCTGACTGCCCTCGTACAACACCTAACTCAGGCGTTCATCTCCACCTACCTCCAGGAAGCTCAAGTATAAATATGGGTGCCCCCCTCCAGGTACAGGGGTCGAATACAATTTGCAGTCTGAATTTGGAACTGGGCTCACAAACCGTACCCTGGTTCCCCTCTTTGTACCCCGTACTAACTTGACCGTCGGAGACTCTGCCTCGGGTTCTCACCCGGGGCCTCTGACGTATTCTGTCTTGTAGTACCTCAGTCACCCACCTTCGGCTTCTGTAGTGCTCGGAGCTCCCTTCACCTCGACCTACATACCTCAACCATGGCAACAACCTCTCCGAACCCTCGAAGCCTTTGGTCAGCCTCCAGAGCCTAGAGACAAAATTACTTTGTTGTCCTCGGCCAATCCGAGCATCAACAATTGGCACTATCTATGGGAAACGTTGCTAAGACGTTTCCTAAAAGGAACTTTGACAAGCTATCAGATCCCTGAGCTCCAACCAACCAACATGATACGAAGAACAAGGAACACACAAAATCTTGTCATCAATGAGTAGTTTCAGGCCATGCTCGACCGCTTGGAGTACTTGACATAGCGAGTCGAGCAAAACTACCCCCAGGTAAGAGGTCACCCCCAGGGTGACCGCCCCGCCGAGGAGTCCACACAGTCGGGCCGGCATGGATCCACCAGCCAATCGGTCCCCATCCTCGGCCACGCGCAGCGGACCAAGCCTTTCGAGTATGGTAGCAGTCATCCAGCCGACCTGCTCTCCCAGGCCTCCTGATCTCCCAGCCGAAGGGGGGACAACTCCAAACCACCTAGTCGAAGGGAGGAAGAACCAGAACAAACGAAGGATAGCCGCCAGACCTCTGAGCAGCATCATCGATGCTGAAGGGCCAAGTCAAGGGATGAAGGCGGACGTCGCGATCGCCCTAGCGCCCACTCCAGGGCCGAGGGCCGGCGTCGAGCCTCTTCCCATCATGTCTCGGACCTCCAGGATGTCCTGAACGACCGTGGTGCTAAGATCGAAGCACATGGTCTCAACTCCGAGCACTCCGGAGTCTGCATCGACCACCATCATGCCCATGAAGACTAGGACGGCACATGGGCCATGCCCGAACCCATGTTTGCCGATCTCCGAGACGAGCTTGGCACTGTCAAAGCCGAGCTCCGACAAGTTAAGGAGGGTCAAACTGATACCTCGGCCAGACAGAGCAATTCCCTTGGGAGAATGGATGCCTTCTCTCTTGATATCGTTGCCGAGCCTCTACCTCTGAACTTCAAGGCTCCCACCTTGGAGATGTACAACGGGAACACAGACCTAGATGAGCACTTGGAGAGCTTCAGGGCACTCATGATCCTATACGGATACTCCAACGCCTTGACGTGCTGGACTTTCCAGGCAACCTTCAAGGGATCCGTTCGGCGGTGGTTTTCTAGCCTCCCACCTCGATCCATCACCTCATGGGAGTAGTTTTCCAACATGTTCCTCTCCCACTTCATCAGCTGTCGGCGTCCCCAGAAAAGCATTGTCTCGCTGATGATTGTCAAGTAGAAGTGAAGAGAGAGTTTGTGGTCATACATTGACCGCTTCAAAAAAGAAGAGGAACTTTGCACTGGAATGTTGAAAGGCCATAGAGGAGGAAGCTGAAAAGTTACTCGACGTCGGCTTCATCCGAGAGGTACACTACCTTAACTGGTTGTCAAATGTGGTTATGATAAAGAAAGCTAATGGGAAATAGCGGATCTGTGTTGATTTCACAGACCTTAAACGAGCTTGCCCCAATGACAGTTTTCCTTTGCTGAGGATAGACCACCTCGTTGACGCCATTGCAGGGTATGAGCTACTTAGCTTTGGATTCCTTCTCCAGATACAATCAGATAAAGATGCACCTAGATGATGAAGAGAAGACCTCGTTCATCACTAAACATGACACATATTACTACCGTGTGATGCCCTTCGGCTTCAAGAATACTGGGGCCACCTACCAGTGCCTTATTAACAAGGTGTTCAAAGAGTAGATGGGGAGGAACGTTGAAGCCTATGTGGATGACATGGTAGTGAAGAGTCTGAAGGCCAAGACCCACATCCCGGACCTAGTCGAGACCTTCAACACCTTGCGGAAGTACAATATGAAGCTCAACCCTAGCAAGGGTGCCTTTGGCGTCACATTAGGCAAATTCTTAGGTTTCATTGTCACTTAGAGAGGCATTGAGGCTAATCCTGAGAAGATACAAGCCATAATAGACATGGCACCCCCCCGGATGGTGAAGGAGACCCAAAAACTCACCGACCGAATAGCAACCCTCAATTGCTTCATGTCAAAGTCAGCTGACCGCTACCTACCCTTCTTTTGTGCCATCAAGAAGCTAAAAGAGTTTCAATGGACGAAGGAGTGCCAGCGTGCCTTTGACGAGCTCAAGGCGTACCTTACTTTGCCTCCCCTTCTCACCCGGCTGACCGAAAGGGAAACCTTGTACCTATACCTCTCAGCCAGAGATGAGGCAATCAGTTCAGTCCTCATCAAGGATGATGGCGTGCAGAAACCGGTTTACTATGCTAGCAAGGTCCTTTGCGACGCCGAAACCAAGTACCCCGAGGTAGAGAAGTTGGCTCTCGCCCTCGTGGTTTCAGCAAGGAAGCTTTGGCCATACTTTCAGGCCCACACTGTAGTGGTCCTGACAAACCAAACCCTCAAGGCTGTCCTCAGCAAACCCAAGGTCTTGAGACACCTGACGAAGTGGGTCTTTAAGCTATCTGAGTTTGATGTTCAGTACCGGCAGAGACCCGTGATCAAAGTACAAGCCTTGGTAGATTTCATAGTAGAATGCACCTTCAACTGAGCCCTTCGCCAGCCCCCAGAAAATGCTGAGGGGGATCATGTGGACGACGAGGCTCAACTTCAATGGAAGCTCTTTGTCGATGGTTCATACAATGCTAAAGGAAGCAGAGCGGGCCTCGTCCTCCTCACCCCAGATGATGTTGTCCTGGAGTATGCGTTAAGGTTTGACTTCCTTGCATCAAACAATGAAGCCGAGTACGAGGCCCTCCTCACTAGTTTGCAGCTTGCTAGCGACCTCGGCTCCTCATACATAGAAGCCTTCAACGACTCTCAACTGGTGGTAAATCTGGTGAATGGCGAGTATGAGGCTAGGGAACAAAGTATGTCCAAGTACCTCACTAAAGTCCAAGATATAGCCCGCCACTTCCAACGCTTCTCCTTGCAACGGGGCCCGCAAGCTAAGAACACACGAGATGACGCCCTCTCTAAGTTGGTAAGTACCTCGAGCGGATCCCCTGGCCATATTGTGCACGTCGAGAAGTTGCTTCGGACCTCCATTGAAGAAACCCGAGTACTCCCAATAGAGGCCAAACCTTCATGGATGGATCCCATCGTCAACTTCCTATCAATTGGACGGCTGCCCGAAGACAGAAATGAGGCAAAGTGACTCTGATGACAGACAACCCACTACACCCTGCTGGAAGGGAAACTGTACTGAAGATCCCTCACCTTACCCTACCTCCGATGCTTTCATCTGGAGGAAAGCAACTATGTGCTACAAGAAATTCACGAGGGCATTTGTGGTAATCATCTTGGCGGGAGAGCCTTAGCCCAAAAAGCCCTAAGGCAGTGCTCCTTCTGGCCTACCCTCCACAAGGATGCAGCTAGATTGGTGCAAAAGTGTGACCCATGTCAAAGACATGCCAACTTATGCCACCGACCGACGACCACTCTCACAGCCCTTAGCAGACCATGGCCCTTTGCCAAATGGGGCATGGACCTCCTTGGCCCCTTTCCTTCGGCCACGGGGTGCAAAAAGTACCTCATTGTTGCAGTAGACTACTTCACCAAGTGGGTAAAGGCCGAGCCTCTAGCCGCCATCACAGTGCGAGCCATCCAAAATTTCTTTTGGAAAAACATTATATGTCGCTTCGGCTACCCTACATGCTAGTCGCCGACAATGGAAAGCAATTTGATGACACCAAGTTCCGAGAGTGGTGCGCCTCCTTCGGTATCAGGCAATAGTACACCTCGGTAGGTTATCCTCAAACCAATGGCCTAACCAAGGTCACAAACAGAACAATACTGGATGGGCTGAAGACCGGATTGGACCGAGCTAAAGGCCTATGGGTTGAAGAACTAAACAGTGTACTCTGGGCTTACCGAACTATGCCTCAGACAGTCACGGGAGAAACTCCCTTTGGCTTAACCTACAACATAGAAGTAGTAATCCCAGTAGAGATCGGCCAACCAACACTCCGAATTGAGGTGTATAACGAAGTCGAGAATGATGAAGCCCTTAGAGCAAACTTAGATCTGCTAGAAGAAGCCTGAGAGCAAGCACAGATAAGGATAGCTGCTTACTAGCAGCGAGTGACCCGCTACTACAACTCTAGGGTAAAAGAAAGCATTATCAAGAAGGAGACCTTGTCCTCAGAAAAGCCATGGTCCCCGAACCCAAAGTTGGGAAATGGGCCCCAACTGGGAAGGCCTCTACAGAATCAAGCGAGTCGCCGGCCCTGGCACTTTTCACCTGGAAGACCTATACCTCAGACATGGAACTCAGAGAATCTTCGGATGTACTACAAATGATTGTAATATCTTTTTGACACTATTGGATGACTGAAGCAATGTTCATCTTCGGCTCAATGGTTAGTGCGTGTACCTACTAAGTTCCTCCTTGGCCTCGCGACTGGCAAGGGCGCACAGCCTCCTCCAAGGACTGTACCCCCTCGCTAGACCGATGCCAAGACTTAAAAAATAAGTAGCGAACACCCTAGCTGTGACTTAATGTGTCGGAATACACCCGGGCGTCCGAGGGCCTCATATGCCTCAACGCCCCACCTCGGTGGCGGCTAGCCTCCTAAACATTCACACTTAGCACTACCAGCAAAGGAAGCCAGACTCCTTGGAGCGTTGCGCTCGACCTCGTTGAAACAAGTATGCGGGGATATGGGAGCCAGGAAAGCTTCGGCTCTGCCTAGAACCCATGGATCCAGACGAGCCTCAGCTCTGTCTCGGCCACCCCACAATAGGGCAGGCCACCTTGGCTTTGCCAAAGCTAATGCACAAGTATACGGGAGCCAGGCGAGCCTCGGCTCTACCTAGGCCCCACGGAGCCAGACGAGCCTCAGCTCTGTCTCGGCCACCCCCTAATAGGGCAGGCCACCTCGGCCTTGTCGAAGCTAATGCGCAGGGATATGGGAGATAGGCGAGCCTCAGCTCTGCCTAGGCCCCACGGAGCCAAACAAGCCTCAGCTCTGTCTCGAGCACCCCTCAATACGATAGGCCACTTTGGCCTCGCCGAAACCAATACTTAGATGATTGGGAGACAAGCGAGCCTCAGCTCAGTCTCGGCCCCACTCTTACATCGACAGGTCATCTTGCTATTTACTTGAAGAGAGGAGAGTCAAGCGTGTCTCATGCTCCGCTTTGACCTCCCCCCATCATAGGCCTCTTTGGCCTTGCCTAAGTCAACGCTCAAGAAGAGTGGTAGGCCAAGCAAGCCCTAGCCTAGTTGCGGAGGCTTCGCCTCGGCCACCCCTCCGCCATTCTCCTGACGTGCAAAGTAAAGTATATCGAAGAGAACTATACTGGTCTCACGCTGTGATTTTTCCCTTGGAGGGGCAAGGACCCTTCGGCAACAAAAGCATAAGTGCAAAAAGTACAAGGAAAAACAACACAGCAAAGCACAAGTTCAAAATTTGAGGCAAAGATAAAAAATGCCACCAATTTTCATTATGTACAAAATTTTTGGCTTTACAAAATTGTCTCATGGCCCCTCGGGCCAAACATATGTACAATGTAAAAAAAAAAAACCAGAGAGAGAAAAAGCTTGGCCTAAGCCTCGCCACCAGCCGAAGGAGTGAGTGCAGAATCAGTAGCCTCTTCAGGAGAGTCATGGATCACCTTCAAAGATTTAGCATCAAAATCTGGAAGCACCGCCACAAGTGCCTTCTTGGTGTCCTCAATCCCATCCAAGTAATCCCCGGAAGCGAGATCGGCCAACTCATTGGCTCGTTTCCCTGCCTCCTGGGCCCTCTTCTCAGCCTCGGCTTCCTTCTGTTTGGCCTCTGTAGCCTTCTTAGTTGCCTCCTCGGCCTTCCTCTCTGCCTCGGCCGCCCGCTTATTCGCCTCGGCGATGTCTACCTCGGCATGGTGGAGACGCCGTTCGGCCTCATAAATGAGGTCTCTGCATGAGTCCTCTCCATATTCTCTTGGGAGAAGAGATCTTGTGTCTTCTTCAGCTTCTCTTCGGCCCCCATGCAAAGCTTTTGTTCGTCGCCGAAGTATCACTGGAACTCGCGACGCTTCTCCATGGCGGTGGTGGCGACTTGCCTAAACTTGTCTTTCTTAGCCTCCAACTTGTCCATGTTGGCTAGGGTCAATTTCAGCCGATCCCCTAGCCCAACAAAGTGAAGACAGACCAGCAACGAGAAAATAGTTAGCACCTAGCAGATAAATGAAGAAAAGAAGGAAAGGAAAGGGGAGCAAGCTGTTACCTTGACCAGGCTCTGCAACCCCTACTCGTACAACCTGTTCGGGGCCATCCCCAGCATCTAGAAGCGGTCCCGTTCTATGAGAGCCCCACTCACCAATGCCGGGCCAACTCCCGCGTTGCGGATAGAGTACCCCTTGCAGATCTCCTACTCTGTGCGGAAGATTTGGTCAGACTGCTAGGTGAGCTCTTCCAATGGCGCGGGAGCAGAAAATAGCCTCATTCACTCCTTGTGGGGCCTCCTCGGGGCATCACCGGAAAAACTCTAGGGCTGACCCCCTACAGCCTCCTCGGCCGGCCTCTTCCTCCCTACCTCAACCCCGTTGGCAAGTCCTCTCGGCACCTCGGCCGGATGCTGCGGCACTTGCTCCTTGCGCCCCAGCTGGCCCTCCTTGACGGGCCCCTTCCCCTTCGCGAGGATCTGTGGAGTGGCTCCCTTCGGGGGAGCTATTGAAGAAGTCCCTTTGGCAGGGACCTGTGCTCTCGTTCCCTAGGCAGGGCCTAGCGGGAAGACCCCCCCCTTCACAGGGGCCGGTGCCTTCTTCTAGGCTGGCGTGCCCCCAGTAGGCCTCTGAAGCGTCTATCCACCAGCCTTCGCCCGCTCCTTCTATATCACGCGGTCACAGTCCAATATGGCCTTCCGAGCATCCATCGGCACTTCTGTAAGCAAAGCAATAGTTAGTACCATTACACAAAGACGAAGGCAAGGAAAACATGAAAAGGAGTTGCGTGGCCTATCCTATCGAGAGGGGTAGGGCTGAGTCCCATGAAAACCAATGGGATCTCCTCCTCCACCAAGGGCTGGGCTCGAACTCTCCCCAGGTTGAGCAGCCGCATGAGATCATCACTTTCCTCACTTGTAAGCAAGGGGACACTTTTCTCTACACACAAACTGGCTCTCCCCACCCCGACTTGAAGGACCAGCCCTCAGGACAAGACAAAAAGAAATATTTACTCTTCTAGTTGTGCATGAAAGAGAGGTTATCTATGGGCTTGGACTTGCGGGGTTGGAAACAGAAGACACCAGCTTCGAAAGAGTTCTTCCTCAGTATGAAGACCGCTCGGAAGAGCTTCGGCATCACCTCCACGCATTGGGTGCCAATTGGCTAAGGGTAATCCCATACACCCTTAGCAGGTCAGAGATCAGCGGATGAAGGGGGAACCGAAGACCGAATTGGAGGAGAGTGTTGAAAAATGCAGATCTCCCCCTCCTTGGGAGTCCATAGCCAATCACCCGCCTTGGGCGCCCTCACCCCATAGGATGAAGCGATGAAGTATTGCCTCGTGAGGGCCTTAACCTAACCCCACTCTAGAGAACCTACGAACTCTGGGCAAGAAGGATCAGCCCTGGCCACTACCCCGACAACACTCTCAACCCTTGTCTTGGGGACGAGGTCTGGGTCCTGCTCTCCCTCGGCCTGGGGGGACCCCTCAGCATTACAGATGCGGCGCTCTCACAGGGAGGGTCATTGCCTTGACGGATGCCTTCGACTCCCCCGGAGGTTACCCTCTCCTGGAGCACCTCCACCTCGCATCGAAGGGGAATGGAAACAGAAGGGCTTCAAGGGGAAAGGGGAGAAGGGGTTCGAATGGAGCTCCCCTCTAGTACATTCGGAAGTTCATAGCACTCAGGTCCAAAATCTGAGAAAGACATCGTTGGAAATTACCTAAGAAGGGGAGGGGAAGTAATAGAAGTGAAGGTAGAGTGTTGAAGACTAGAGAATCTAGGAGCAGAGTTCACTCGAAGGCGAAAGCACTTAGAGGCAAAATGATAAGAATTCTGCTGTCAAAGCACCTATTTAAAGAGGAACGAACGGCCTAGATTTCTCAAGATCCAATGGCTGAGAAGCCACCGCCTCCACAACCCAATCATGGCGAGCTGCGTGACGCTCAGCCTCGGAAGGCGAAGTGACGCACTAATAACGGCTCAGATCATCAGAAATCTAACG